ATAATTATTTGTTTGGGGAGACTGTCCTGTGCATTATATGATATTTATCAGCATCCCATGCCTCTACCCTCTAGAGGACGGTAGCATCCCCCCAGTTGTGAAAAGCACAAATGTCTCTAAACATTGCCAAATGTCCCCTCGGGGGCAAAGTTGCCTTTGATTGAAAACCACTGCCACATAGTATAAATTGCATTTAAAGAAAGTGATTTGAGGGGCAAAGATTCAAGATTGGCACATGATTAAAATTCCCAAGCGATCTTTGAGCGTATTATCTAGTTTAGAGCTGTCCAAAAAAAATATAATGCAAACCACAAATGTGAGCCACATACGTAATTTTAAATTTTTTAGTGGCTACATTAAAAAGTGAAAGTAAACAAGTGAAATTAATTTTAAAGATATATCCCAGTATATCGAACATAGTATCATTTTGACATGTAGTCAACATAAAAATTATTAATGACATATTTTACATTTTCTTTTGTACTGAGTCAATGAAATCCAATGTGTATTTTCAGTACGTTTCAATTCAGACAAGCCACACTGCAAGTGCTCAATAGCTTTGTGTGGCTAGTGGCTGCCATATTGGATAGTGCAGATCTAGATTATCTTGGTCTCTAGATGGGTACACATTGGTTTTGGCATAAATGAGGGGAAAGAAACTGTCCTGATTTTGTACTAAGCCCTCTGCTGCCTCGGAGATGGCAAGATGTATCAACACATTTATTGAAAATTATCATTACTTACCTTACAACTAGGGTGAGTGTGCTCTCTAAGTGAGTGACTGTTTGATGAAACCTTAGACATAGATAAGAATAAAGAACAAAGGAAGATTCATTAAGAGTATTAACAAATGGGGGAGCCTACATGTGGCTCACACCTATAATCCTAGCACTCTGGGAGGCTCAGATGGGAAGATCGCTTGAGGTCAGAAGATCCAGACCAGCCTGAGCAAGAGCGAAACCCAGTCTCCACTAAAAATAGAAAAAGTTAGCCAGGTGCAGTGGCATGCACCTGTAGTCCCAGGTACTTGGGAGGCTGAGGCAAGAGGATCGCTTGAGCCCAGGATTGTGAGGTTGCAGCGAGCTACGATCATGCCACTGCACTCTATCCCAGACAACAGAGCGAGACCCTGTCTCAAAAAACAAACACATGGGGGAGCTATATTTTTAAATGGGCAATAATTTTAAAAGGAAATCCTTTTTGGATCCCTTCCACCCATTTTAATGCATTTTTGCTAAGGTCAAAATTTTTATCACTTAATAATTTTAGCTGTTTTAATTGATAAATTGCTTTCAGAGGGATAGTTTCCTAAGCATGAAGTTCAAGACTAGTCCAGAGAATTTCTAAGTGTTAACTCTTAATAAATGAGAGAAAATGTAAGGAACATTAACAACAGTAGCTAAATTGGCAATTGCTTTGACAGAAAGCTTCAGTAAACTTTTATTCTCCCTGTTTGACCCCAGACAAATAAGAATTGTATTAGAAATAGCAGGGGGAGGTGATCAGAGCCAAAACCAGGCCAGTGTCCTGCTTCTTAAAATTTGATCCTTTTGGCTCCTCCTCCTCCTCTGAAGTACACTGTTGTTTAGTCAGGGATTCTTAATTTTTTTGGTGTCATGGACCCCCCTTTGGCAGTTTGATGAAGCCTATGAGCCTTTTCTTAGGGTAATGTTTTTAAATTCATCAAATAAAATACATAGGATTACAAAGGAAACTAATTATAATATGCTTATCAAAAATGTATGAAAAATATTTGATAACGTGTGATTTTTTTTTTTTTTTGTACCTCCACTCCCACCGGATGCCTGCATGTGATTTTTTTATTAGTGCATTAAATAAGTTCTAGTGTGCTGGGCACAACAGCTTGTAAAAGCACTTGTAATCTCAGTGTTTTGGGAGGCCAAGATGGGAGGATTGCTTTAGTCCAGGAGTTGTAGACCAGCCTGGGCAATATAGCAAGACCCTGTCTCTACAAAAAAGGGAAAAAAAAAAAAAACCTAGCCAGGCGTGATGGACTGTTGCCTATAGTCCTAGCTACTTGGCAAGCTAAGGCCGGAGATTACTTGAGCCCAGGAGTATGAGGTTACAGTGAGCTGTGATTGTGCCCCTGTACTCCAGCCTGGGTGACAGCAAGACCCTGTCTCCAAAAAAAAAATAAGCTCTAATGATGGATCTGGAACTACCATAATTTCAAAGTAGTGATGAGTATAAAGAGTATTTTGAGATACCTTGTAATAGCTGTAATGTAATGTGAAAATGTATGTGATTTCTGTTATGAATTAGGAATGCTAAATATGTTACAGCTTAATGAAAATAAAGATGTTAGCTTTTTTCCTGTGTTTGCATTTATCAAATCCTCTGAGATGCTAGTGAGTGGGAGATCCTTTCAGCTACGTTCAGTTCTCCTCAGGCCTCACCTTTTGATTTGGAAAAATAAATAGCTCAAAGGCAATGTGGAGGGGGCTGGAGGTGGGGGGTAAGCAGCAAAAGAACAAGAACTATAGGACAAATAAGACAAGTCAGGACTATACAGCAGTGTTACAGTGGAAGGGGGGAGTTGCTTTTTAAAATACTGAGCAATCTTAACCAGAGCAAAACCTGATAGAGATTTAAAATCTTTCTCACAGCTCATTTTTGAGCAAGCTAGATTTCTAATAGTAGAAGACAACTTTTTACTTAGAAGTCATTCTTCTAGATTCTAGAACATTGTGCAAAATTTTTCAAGCTATCTACATCAAATTTCCTTTGAGTATCTATAAACATATTTTTAAAAAAGATTATTATAACATTACCAATACATTTTGAAAACTTACAACTCTGCTTAATCTACTACTTTTTATATCCTCTTAAAATGATCTTTTTTTCTCCATTGTAGACTGGGTTCTGCCTATTTCCTTTTACCGAATAGCTGGCAATCCCAGACCCTCTACAGTGATTTGTTTAACCTACAAATATCATACCCCTGGTTAACAGACTATTCTCTCCCTCCCCCTTTGCCCCCCACCCTTTTTTGCTTAGGGAGAAAATCTTATAACTGCAAAAGTTATTACCTGGGGTTTACCAACAATAGAGAAAACAAGAGTTCTTGGCTAAATTTTCCCACAGTTTATTAGTTTTGTCTTAGATCTATTGGAAACCACTGAGGCAGTCTTCTTTTGACTGTTTTGCTTCTTGGTTCTTCATACTTTTAATTGAAAATTCCTGGCCGGGCGTGGTGGCACATGCCTGTAGTCCCAGCTACTGCGGAGGCTCAGGCAGGATTGCTTGAGCCTAGGAGTTCGAAACCAGTCTGAGCAAGAGCGAGACCTCGTCTCTACTAAAAATAGAAAGAAATTAGTTGGACAACTAAAAATATATAGAAAAAATTAGCCGGGCATGGTGGCACATGCCTGTAGTCCCAGCTACTCGGGAGGCTGAGGCAGAAGGATTGCTTCAGCCCAGGAGTTTGAGGTTGCTGTGAGCTGGGCTGACTCCACGGCACTCTAGCCCGGGCAACAGAGTGAGACTCTGTCTAAATAAATAAATAAATAGATAGATACATACATACATAAAATCATAAAAAAAAAAAAGAAAATTCCTGCTACCCTTCAGGCCTATATGCCTTACCTGGAAGGATTATGGATCTTAAGCTGGCTTTAGTTGTGAATTCAGGAAAAAGCTACTTTTGCTAAAATAAAGTAACAGATACAGTTCAATATTGCCTTCCTGACTAGGTGGGAGCTAGGATGGGACCAACTCCTGTGTTATTTGGTTTGCAGTCAAGAAGAGCTGTGGAAAAGAAGGTTAAAGGTGTAGTGTTTGATGGGAAGTGCATATTTGGTGAAGAAAGTAAAAAGAGAGAACAAATCAATCACTATTTTTAGAAGCAAAAAGATAAGTAGAACCATGTTTCAGAGCCTCACGGTGAAGGAGCTGTGGAAAACTGCAGCATCCAGTCTGTTACTGTGTTGCAGGCATGTTTCAATGAAGGACATGGCCAGCAGCAAAGGGACTTCTGAGGGTATTATTATTTTGAATTACTGCTGTTCATCTGTTCCTTTCACCTCCCCCTTTTAAAGACGGGGTGGGAGCATAAATTATTGTCCAGTAATCCTGTCTTAGTCATAAACTAGGGTAGACTTAGCCTACTTTTCTTCATTGTCCTTTCACCCAAACCCCTAAACAAATAAAATTTTTGTACCATCTCCTTTTCTCTTCCCTCATCCTGCCTACAGGCTCCTCCCTCCCCTTAAAAAATATTTTTTGCTTGCATTTTTATTCTACCATTATACAGCCAGCAGCATCGTACTGGCCGCTTTATGGCTGATGGAGCCCAGGCGGGCTGCCCGATGAGGGGAGACAGCATTTGGCCGATGGGGCTGGTATGTGCCATTATTGCTGGCCGTTGGGCCTCGGTCTTCTACAGCTCCATCCTGGCTCATTAAAACTCTGAGCCAAATAGCCGCGCAGGCGCCTGCTGCAGCACTGTAGGGGCCAGGAAGTTAAATGGTTCTCCTAATCCTGCATAATTTATCTCCCTGTTAAGCCCCATCATAAAGCAGTCCAGTTCAGCTCCACCATGGAGAGGTTCATTCTGAATTTCCTACTTTTGTGATGACCAGCGAGTGCCCAGCCTTTCCCTTCTCTCTTTATTATTATTATTATTAAAAATTGTTTTCCCCTTGTTCATTACGAGTTTGCCTTAATGTTTTTTTTTCATTTGGAGCCTCCTGCCTGGACCCCACTTCACCAACAATCTGTCCACTTCTCTTGTTTGGACCTGATATTACAGAGCATTTGGTGCTCTGGTCTTCCCCTTCTCTCCTCCCTGCCTTCTAGCGCTGTTTTTCCTCCATCTCTTCTGCTTTTATATTACTTCCAATTCTTTTTCTCTCTCCAATCCCTCTTTCCAGGGACCAACCTCATTGCAGGATGTTTGGTAGGACATTTTAAAAGGGCACTGAATCAGGGTTTTTTTGTTGTTGTTTTTTTTTCACATCTCCATTTCTGTTTTGTTTCAGAGATTTACAAACGAGGACCACCTGGCAGTTCATAAACACAAGCATGAGATGACATTGAAATTTGGCCCAGCTCGAACTGACTCAGTCATCATTGCAGGTATTTGCTGCCCCAAAAGCCACTTGCCTTGATATCACCAGACAGTTAAGATTAATACCAGGGACCAGATGTACTGGGAGCTGTACTCCCCTTCTCCCATTAAGAACCCTTATGTGATCTGCATTTAATCAGGAAAAAAGAACACTAAAAGCTCCCAAGTTTCTCTTGTGCCCTCCACTCTGTTTTTAATAACAAGATTGTGTTCTGTGGTTTTTGAGGGTAGGTATATTGAGGTTTTGTCGTAGCTTTTTTCAATCTATTCCCTTACCTTCTATTTATTAAGACTTTGGAAGATTTACAGACAAAAGATTCCTTTGACATTTTCCCTACCCACAGTGAAGGGGTGAACAAAAGAAGGCAGAAAAGCTGAACTAGCCTGGCTGCTTCTCTTCCACTGGGTGTCAGTTTTCCTCCAGCAGGCAAATTGTCAGTTCATAAATTCAACTTGCCAGCTGGGCACAGTGGCTCACACCTGTAATTTTACCACTCTGGGAGGCCAAGGAGGGAGGATTGCTTGAGGTCAGGAGTTCCAGACCAGCCTGAGCAAGAGCGAGACCCCATTTCTACAAAAAATAGAAAAATTAGCCAGGCATGGTGGTACACGACTGTAGTCCCAGCTACTCGGGAGGCCAAGGCAGGAGAATCACTTGAGCCCAGGAGTTTGAGGTTGCAGTGAGCTGTGATAATGCCACTGCACTCTAGCTGGAGCAACAGAGCAAGACTGTCTCAAAAAATTAAATTAATTTAAAAAGTTCAACTTCCCTTGTGAACCCAGACACCAATTGAGGGCACATTTCCAAAGCTCAAATAAGACATTTAGTCAGTGAGACTTTCCTAAGCCAATTTGGGTGACCTGGAACCTCTCACCAGTTGTTTTAGATATTATCTTGCTTACATATGCCATTCTCAAGGGAGTACTCTTAGCAACTGCTCACAAACCATGCAGCAATTCTGTTGTGCCATTTTTAGCTAAACAGACATAAAACCAAAGTGGGCTTTTTCTTTTGATACCATGAGAGGTTCTGATTTAGCTCAAGCTAAGCAAACTTAACTCAATATTTAATCAATAGGGTATTTCGTTGTTGATTATTACATTAGTTAGTAACTCAGGTAAGACACAGTTTCTCTTAAGTACTACTAAGCAAAATGCTGCCATAGACATGGAGAAAGAGAGACAGAACCTCCTCGTCATACTTCTATATGTGATGAAAGGGATTTGCCCCTATAGATCTCTTATTCCTTATTAATTAAACAAATATTCATTGACTACCTACTGTGTGCACCAGGCACATTGTTAGGAGCCTGTAGATTTGTAATCCCTGGGAAAAGAACATGAGTAGTGACACTGTCATCAGTAATTCTTAAGAAAACCTGGGGAAGGTCTCAGGGAAGAGTGGGTATGTTGTAAATATATATATGTAGGTAAAACTTAAGTCAGGGCATATATGCATGAGAAAAATTTTAGTGTTTGCAGATAAGTACAAATGAATAATACAAATATATGAATACTAAGAAAGTTAGTATTAAGTAGAATTAATCAGAGAAAGTTTATGAAAGAGGTAAATTTGGGGCAAGGTTATCAAGTTAGGGAGATTATTACAAATGGGTGGAAGCACCTACTCCAAGTCTTCAGGGGTGGTAAGAGGAAGTTACTACAGGACACAGTCCCAAGGAAAAAAAAGTATTTTCTCGTTATTCTCTGGATTCAGTTCTAGAATGCTCATCTATTGCACATGACTTCAGCTATTCTATCTAGACTGGTAATTGTCATATCTCCTATTAAGACCCAGTGTGTCAATATGTATTCCAACGCCTTATTGAACACTTTTATTTGGCTGTCATTCAAATCTTCATGTCAACAACCGAACTTACCTCCTTGTCCCCCAGCCATCTCCTTCTCCTTTGTTATTCACCAGTATTCTTAAACTCGTGAGTTGTTTTATTCTTTCTTCAAATTCTCTCTATTCTATTCCTTCCTGTTCTTCCTGCCACCACCCTTATTATGTTTGGATTCCTCCAAAGTCTCGTAGCTGGCCTCCTTGAGGAATCTCTCATTCTCATCCATCATGCATAATATTGAAAAGCCAGTCTTCCTTAAATTCTACTATTCTAATCAAAATCTGTCATTATCTTCCTGTTTTCTTTTACTTTAAGGCAATTTATGCCCGGATTTTCAGACTCTTCATAACCTAGCTCCATGGCATCCACCCAACTTTTTATATACAACTTATATCCCTAATATAAGTTGGGATTCTCTTTTGACCCAGAGAAAACTTTTTTTCCTCATCCATACATAATGCTCATACCCTGCCTTTCATTTTGCCTTCACCCTCCGTACTCCTTTTAGCCTCCGAATGTTCTTTTCTCTCTACCAACTAAAGCCATTCTCTAAGGTTCAGCTCTAGTCCTACTTCTTGAGATCTTTCCTAACTAGTCTGTCATTAACGTGTCTTTATTTAATTTCCACAGCAATTTTATTCTCCACTGCATATGGCACTTATTTTTGTACACTATGATGCTAGCTATGTATATTAGCTTTATTTTCTCAATTAGAAAACATTCTCTTCATTCTCTAGAGCAAGAGCCATGTCTGATATTTGGGAAATACTCCTATATTTCTATCCCTCTCCTCCCCCAAATATACACACACATATGCATGTAGCACCAAAGCATATAGAAAGTATTCAGTAAACATTTGTTGATTTCTTAGGAATCGTCAGAGGAGGCTCCAGGTTTTTTAATATATTTTCAGGCTGTTTGTTCAGGAACCAGAGCCAGTTGAAGGTTAGAAGCCACCTGGAAGGTGAGGAATTAGGTTTAACAGAGGGGAGCCTTTAAAATAAAAACGAAAGCTAGGCATGTGGCTCACACCTGTAATCCTAGCACTTTGGGAGGCCAACACAGGAGATCCACTTGAGGCTAGAAGTTCAAGACCAGCCTGGGCAACATAGCAAGACCCCATCTCTACAAAAAATTTTTTTCAAATTAGACAGACATAGTGACACATGCATGTAGTCCCAGCTCCATGGAAGGCTGAGGCAGGAGGATCGCTTGAGCCCAGGAGTTTGAGGTTGCAGTGAACTATTATTGTGCCGCTGCACTTTTAGCCCTGGCAAGGGAACAAGACCCTGTCTCAAAAGTAAAATAAAATTAAATTAAATATAAAAACCAGAAAGAACATGAACAGCAGGGTATGGGAGAAGTTTATTTGAGCCTCAGATCAGAGGTCTGAAAATCCCTCTTCTGCCATAGCCATGATCTTAGCTGCCCCATCCTGTTCCACTTGAGTTGTGATTTTGTGTGTGCCCTTACTAAAGTATTATTCTCTAAGCATAAAGGATGATATTACCTCTACTCACCAAGGAATGGAGGGAAAGTGGCTTTATCATTAGCCAACCAAAGCTGCCAGAGAACCTTTTAAAACTATTTTAGGAAGCAGTGGTAACTTTTCCAAACACTCTGATTCAGAAGAGGTTTTGTTTAAATTTTTTTAAAAACTTATTTTGTTTCCATGGAAAACCCCACTGGACTATTTTCAACTGATCATACTAGAAGGTGTGATTTTAACCCCAGGTATCACTCCTTAAAATATCATTTAAACATTGTTCTATTTCAATCATTCAGTCCAGTGTTTGGGGTATGAGATGAATTCCTGAGGTGACTGGCGTGTCAAGGAAAGCCATCATAATATAGTTAGGATCAGAGAACAAGATTCAACTCTAGAAAAGCAGGATTGGGAGAGAGAAGCTCTAATCTAAAATTTAGGTTGCTTGAAAAGTTCCCATGGGTTGTCAAAAGTCTTCCTCTTCCCAAGTGCAGAGGCACTGTGTTGAGGAAAGATTTGTGCAGCCCCTAAGGGGATATTTTGGCTGGCAAATCTAAATCCAAATATCCTGGTTTCCAGAATTTTCTCTGGGCCCAGGTCTCTGTGAAATGAGCTCTATTGTTTTCAATTTCCTTTTCTAGTTCATGATCTTGCTGTCTTGTTCCCCAGCCCCTAAATGTGCCTGGAATGCCTTCAGAAAGTAACAGACCATTACCTCAGTGACCATTACCCCATTGAAAGAAAAGTCACCATTTCTTACTTGGTAGCTTTAACAGCAAGCAAACTCAATCATCTGATCCTCAGTTTCTTCTCCTCATCAGATTTTAACATCTGTCTGCTTATTCCTGCTCACTTCACACTTAGCAGGGAATAGGTTTAAAAAAGAAAACATTGCCTAAAATTACTTGATTTTCATATGAGGAGGTTTCACAAAACTGCACCTGTGTGGGTGGTTTTATTTTGTTTGAGGGTGAAGGAAGTAAAACCAGCACTGAGAAAGGTGGGTACACGGATAGTCACATAACGAAACATTGTTCTGTCTTCCCCCTGCTGGCTTTAAGGCAACACAGCACAGACACCCTCTGGTGGCCTAGCACCAGCCTTCATCTACCAGAGCTCCATAAAATCAAATTTTTATGCCCTAACCCAGAAACTCTCTATTTCCAAATAGAAGAATAAAAATGTATTCTCTGTATATTCTGAAGTTTTAATCTCAGGTCAAAACTAAAACTGAGTTTCCTTTTCTTTCGTGTCTGCAGATCAGACTCCTACTCCAACTAGATTCCTGAAGAACTGTGAGGAGGTGGGGCTCTTCAATGAACTAGCTAGCTCCTTTGAACATGAATTCAAGAAAGCTGCAGATGAGGATGAAAAAAAGGCAAGAATCGGGACATTTGCAAAAAAATAAAAAAAACAAAACCTGGCGGTATTCAGGCATAGGCTATTTTCATTGTACCTTGGGATAATTTGCTTAATTGATTAAAGCACAAAATCAAGGGCTTGGTTCTGTAGACCCAGGTAGTACTCACTAATCCTAGTCAGCCATGCAGGTCTCCAGGGGTTCCAGATGATGGATCAACACAAGTCTGTCTTCACCAAAAATCAGTTCTTTCCAGTCGAGCATTATTTCAATAATCTGTTTTTTAGAAATTATTTCTGTTACGAATATGTCAAAGATGTTAGAAGATTGTAAATTACTCAGATTTTGTTAATAACCTTTTTGTTGCCAAATCCCACTCTTTTCTGAGCTGATCAGACTTCTTGCCTGGACTATTTTTACTCAGTCAGCTGGTCAGCAAACATCTGTTGAATTTCTATACTTCTTTGCTTCAGTATATACAGTTCTTGCCTTCAAGTAGCTTTCTAGTACTATTCAAAGCATTAAAGTTAAAGAAGGAAGTTCTTAATGTCTTTCAAAGGAGGTCAACCAAGATGGTGAAAAAACTAGAAATTATGTCACTCCAGGAACATTTAAAGAAATTGAGTAAGTTTAGCTTGGAAAAGAGATTTACTGTGAACAAAATTGCAGTTGAAATACTTGAAGATTTTTTTTCTTGTAAAAGAGGGATTCAATTCTTTGTGGCCCGACGGTAGAAGTAAAACCACTGGGTGGAAGCTCTCACAAAATATCTTCCATTACATGTAGGCCACTTAGTAGAGATATTGTAGAGAGGATTAATCCTGAGGTGCTGTGACTCAGATTTGAGGCTTTATATATTCCACATCCCTGGAGAGTCCCTTAGTTTGGAAGACCAGAGGAAATAGTTGAAGAGGCAGAGTCAAAGAAAGGTAGTTCCCATGGAATGAGGGGTTTCGGGAAAAAAGAAAAATGGAAAGATCAAAGTTTACTTTAGAATTAGAATTCTAGGCCAGGAACAGTGGCTTATGCCTACAATCCCAGCAGTCTGGGAAGCAGAGGCAGGAGAATTGCTTGAGCCCAGGAGCTGGAGGTTGCAGGGAGCTGTGATCACACCACTGCACTCTAGCCGGGGCAACAGAATAAAACCCTGTCTCAAAAAAAAAAAAAAAATTAGAATTCTAGGTTATGAGTCACTATTTAAAATCAGGTCTGTGTTCCTGATCAGAAGAGATTCCAACGTCTCTATCCCAAAACATATATATATTAACATACTTACCTCTCAATTGCATGGTGTATTGAGGCATGAAATCCTGTCAGAATATAGAAAAGCTGGGACATATAAAAACATTTCCATGGGAATTCTTTCCTTCTAAGAAGAAAATAGCAGGTAAATCAATATAATTACACATGATTTTTCTATCCAGCTTAAATTGTAAGAATGCAAGATAAAGTGTCTTTATCACTGGAGTTCTTTCCAAGTTCCATAGGTTTCTATGAGCTGCTTTTCATGCTGTCTCCCTCACAATAAAAGCAGGGAAACTCAGTGGCAAATATTTGCAGTTCTACTTTCAAAGGGCAGAACTAGCCAGTCTTCTCAGCATTCTTTATCCTTTAGAGACTTAGGTCTCTTATTTCTCAGTTGCCTCAACCTATGTGCTATAATTTTATTTTACAGCTTCCCTACCTTACCTCCCCTGCCATTTCCTCTTCCCCCTCCATTTCCTCCTCCTCCTCCAAAGAAAGAAAGTAGTCAAATTGTTTCCACGGGAATGTGATGGATCTTATACCAAACTCGTTATAGGCAAATTTAAGAAAATGAGCCTCCCTTAAAAAGTTTGAAGTCTTTTCCACTGCCATTTTAGCTCAGTTGACACTTCTGGGAGGCTAGTTCATAGTTGGTCAGCCCTTTCCTCATTGGGCATCCCTTGGTGTTTTTTCCTTCCTGTACAGGAGTGGTGCTTACCTCCCCTTGATGAGAAGCACAGACTCAGTGAAAGATTGTCTCCAGGAGTGTTTAATGAGCCGGAAACTTTCCTGGACCACAGCTTTTCTAGGAGATGCCCCTAGGGGATTTTAAACCCATGGTTTTATTTACTTAGAGGCTACTCCTTCCCACCAATCTCAGACTCAGAGATCTTAGAACTAGCTAAATTGGGCCTGACATCTTAACAATGTAGAAAAAATGAGGGAGAAATGCAACCATCTTTGCTGTTGCTCACCCTCATCAGATTGGAGAGAAGGAACCATTACCACTTTCTGTAATGTAGCAGACACCAGATTATCTTTAGTTTACTCAACTAGCTACCAAGAAGGTTTCTAGGGATTAAGGTTAGCAAGGGAAGAGTTAGAAACAAGCACTTCTTTCACCAAGGAGCCTAGGATATGGGAAGAATAGAACTAAGGATCCACTTTGTCATGAAACTGAACTGCAATGCCAACTCTCCTGTCATGGTGCAGTGTCAGGGCTGTTATCTCAGATGGTTTATTGTTCCCTGCAAGGCCATTTACAGCTCCACAGTGCTGTGAGGTGATTACACCACTGCCAGGAAAGTATTCTCTTTACTTTCTGATTTTCTCCAGTCCTGCTCATAAGACCAAGTTCTAATTTCTTTCACTGATCAGATGGTCAGCTTTTTCTTTCATTGTTACCCCAAAACCCTGTCTGCCTGAAACTTCTAGCCTCCCCCAACACCAGATTTTGGGGCAAGATCACTGTCAAGCATGGTGAGTTCCCCAGAGAAGACCTTTCCTGTCGTGTTTGTAATACTTTAATATCCAGTTTGTCTTCATTTGCTTTTGATAATTGGGTAATCTAGTCATTCTGGTTGGCAGAGAAAGTGTTCACAGCTCTGTAGGGGCCAGCAGATTCAGGAATTATTTTGCTTTCCTGAAAAAGATTATAAGCATAATATTCCATGGAATTAAATGACATTTTTTTCCAGGTTTTTATAAGTATTTGTTTTCCACTGGTGAAGCAGATGTTATCCTCATTTTATAGTTAGGGAAACAGAAGCCCTGAGAAGACAAAATGATTTGGCCAGAGTTGTACATAAAACATGGGGCCCACATTTCTTTGACTTGCAGTTCAGTGCTTTGAACAATGGCTAAACTTCTTAGAAGCATATTCCCTCATCATGTAACTGGAAAGATATATTAATAGATTCAACCTAAAGGAAATCATGGGGTTAAACTCTGTTCATTTCTCTTTCATAACAGGCTTCTGCTGGGCCCCTTGACATGTCTCTGCCTTCCACACCAGACGTCAAAATCAAAGAAGAAGAGCCCGTGGAGGTAGACTCATCCCCACCTGACAGCCCTGCCTCTAGCCCTTGTTCCCCGCCACTGAAGGAGAAGGTAAAATTCCTTACCAAGAGTCATCCAAATGTTAAATGATAGATTAAATTTTGATTCATTAGTTATATAAATAGAATATGATATAGGAGGATTGATTATTTTAAAAGAAATGTTAATTATTTCTAAGATTTATATAAATTATACCTATTCTCTCTCCCAACAATTCCACTTCTAAGTCTGTGTGGAAGAGAAATTAGTGCATAATAGCCAAAAAAACCTGGAAACATTCCAAATGTCCATCAAAAAAAAGGATGAATAAATAAATTGTGGTATAGTTCTAAAATGGAATACTAAATGGTATTAAAAAAAGAATGAACCAATGATTACACAGCAATGTGGGTGAATCTCACAAACATCATATTGAACAACAACAAAAAACGACAAAAGTACATACTGTATGATCCCATTTACGTGAGGTTCAAACAGAGGCAAGACTTTTTTTTTCCCCTTAGGCAAGCACAAAAATAAAGTTTATTGAGAGAAAGTTAGGATTATAGGGTAAGAGCAAGATAAGCCTTACAGAACATGATACATAAGCCACAGATGACAACCGGACCCACGGTCACAGCAAAGAGCGAGCAAAAGGAAGGTCACAAAAAAAAAACAGGGAGGCAAGGCTATTTGTTAATGATAGAACTCAGAATAATGTTTACCTCTTAAAAGGAAGGGTGTGGGTCGAGAAGGGACATAGAAGAATCTTCTGGAGTGCTGCTGGAAATGGTCTTTATCCTGATTTTACATATGTAAAAGGTTATTTTATTGTTTGATCTAACTTTAGTTAGATCATTGATCTAACTTTAGATCAATGTACTTTATGTATGTTATACTTCAGTTAATAAGTGAAAAAGAGGCCGGGCGCGGTGGCTCACGCCTATAATCCTAGCTCTCTGGGAGGCCGAGGCGGGCGGATTGTTTGAGCTCAGGAGTTCGAAACCAGCCTGAGCAAGA